GCCGCAAGCAGCCCCGGCCGGGGCGGGGAGGACGGGGAGGGACCGGCCGGGGCGGCTGAGCGGTGTCGGGAGAGCCCCGGGTTTCAAAAACGAGCATCGTGCTTTTAACCCTCAGTAGGGGAAAGAAGATGCCGTGCACCGGTCCGCAAAGGAGGAGAGGGTGTGCCTGGAGAGTCCCCCAGCACCAGACCAAGCACGCCCCCCACTCAGTCCGTACAGCCGCGCCAACAACGAGACTTGTGCAATTTCCCAAGTACTCGGCAGCTGAGGTGACCGGTCCGGTAGCCGTCAGACAGTCCAGGGCCGCGCAGGCAGTAGAGGTTTTCCCTTCCCACCAGCCCTATTCTGACAACACCCTGCGGTCCGCTACCTGTCCCACCGACGCCATCCCTGCTCCCTGGCAAAGCTGCTGCACGCCGCAGGATCGGGCGGGACAAGGGATTCAGCCCGACACGGTTCAGCAATCGGTTTGCAAGAAGGAAGGGGCTAAGGTTATTAAGACTGGGTGCCTCCTTGTATCCCCCGAGCACAAAACAGGAAGCGCTCAAGGACGGTCCTGAGCTCTCAAGGACTCACTGGTAAAGCAAAAGAGTTTGGCTTCCATTTGCATGAACGCACTCTGCCAAAGCCTTGCTGCTACCGTATAAAGTCTGAACGAGGGGAGGCTGGAGGAATGGAGAAGAAACCGCCGGCTTCCTCAGGAAAGGCTACCTACAGGAGAGTTCAGGAACGCTGCTCTAAAGTACTATGGACTGTAAACGCAGTTAGCGTCCCATGCAGACAACATCTCACTTGACCATCATTTCTCCTCCCAACCCAGACCTGAAGGTGCTAATGCCTCTACTTGTGAAAGGAGCTGTAACTGGAAGACCAAGACAGTTAAAGTCAGCGAGATTTTAACCAAGTTCTTCACTGGAATCAAGATTTGGCATTTAGCTGTAATGATTCCACTTGTGTGTTTTAAAGCAAGTTAAAAAAACTAGCTGTATCATATTCATGAATTTATTCAGAGTCACATTTCTTAGGGAAAAAAGAGCAAGCTTTTTGTACCACATCTTTAGTTTAGATTTTGAACTCAAATTTGAACACTGTTTCTTACCGGATAATTTTAAAGGGTATGCACTATAAGAACACAAAGGAAGACTCTAAATATATTTTCTTCATATTCTCTCAGAAAGTTCCATGGCTTCCAATTTCTGATACATATGCACAACAAATAATGATAATTATTTTCCAAAAATTATTATGTATGTTAATGTATAAATTTATAATGCATAATCTAACAAATAGGTCTAAGAGCTATACTAGAGAGCCTTTTATTATTGTAACAATTTTAATACCTCATATCTGATTGCTATAGGAGACACACACCCCCCGCAAAATAGGTACACAAACAGGTATACATACCTCAAAAAAGCTCTCCACATATTGCAGTATGTACACTCCACAATCACTGAAGTTGTTCTGTTGTGGCACTTTTGGGTTGGAACCTTTCATGACATCTTTGGAAAAGCTTCTTTTGTTGCCCTTCCTGACTTCCCATTCCACCTCTAAGTATCTATGATAAAAGACCATGCAAATTCAAACTTCTGTTTTCTTGCAGGATTTTGGAAAAAAACAACAAACCAAAAACCAAACAAAAAAAACAGATAGGAAACTTACTCCCTCAGCGTCTTCACAACATTTGACCGGGAAGGGCCTCTCAGTGAGTCCATAAGCAAAATGCAGGGCCTAAGAGAGAACACAATTTTTAAGTACACAATACTTTACAGCAGTTTGGAAAACAATGTTACAAAGCTAGCTAGCTATAAAATAATTTGTGGGGTGACCTTGAACAAAACTAGATCAATACTACAAAGTTTTGCCAGTCCTGCTGTAATCCCCTAACTGGATAGCTAAATGCAAAGTTATCTTTAGATTTAACTATACACTAAGTACAGAGAACTTCAGAATACACTTAGAAAATACAGTACTGTCAGACTGAAAGCATTTGCTACAGGCAAAATCTAGTTGCCTAAAACCCCTCAGGTGTCTAGTGCTCTTTTAGATGCCCAAGTATCTGTGACACTGGCAAGAGACTAGAAAGTAAGGCGCAGAACCCATAAACATCCTTCTGGAGAAGCAGCTGGAGAACAAGACAGGACAGTCCCCAGCACCTAAGACGATGCTAGGTATGCATGTTCAAGAAGTGATCCCAACCAATGAATCTGCAATCTACCTGACAGTTACCCACAAAACACACATGTACTCCATTTGATAGACTTTAGAAAAATAACGTATCCATAAACAAACATTTTCTAGACAACCAAGTCTGCCTGAACGCTCTCTTGCACACTACAGATGTTTACATCCTATCACTTGATCTAGAGGATATTACCTTTGCAGTAGCTGCAAACATAACAATCACATCAGCCGCCTTATAGGCAACAGCTAGATTTATACACCACAGCTAACTCATACCAGAATTCAGAATCTCAGCAATAGATGCAAGATATATTTTAAGGAATAAGAGCAAATTACTTTTCACAAAGCTCTGCTTTCTGTTTTCTAACAATAACACACATGCTTTCAGACAAGGCATCCTTTATAGAAACTGCAAACTAGTAAAGTCAGACAAAATATCTGCATGCATTTATGTATAGGTTTGTTTCAATTTATAAATTATTTTACATATATGCAATTTTTTAGGCATAAGCATATCATCACTTGAATAATGTTTGCTTTTACTTGTACTTGTTTTAATTTCTGATAAAAGAAAGTTACTATTTATATAGGCAATCCTCTTTAAAAATGCACAATCCAGTACTGGGGGGGGGGGGAAGTGAAAGCCTTTTCAAGGTAATTATCTTTTTCATATAGAAGTAATTTAAAAATATGCTAATAGTAAAATATTTAAGTGCTCTTAATGACTTGTGATACTTAAGTGTCAAAGATCTTACAAAATTTCATGTTTGGATTAAAAAAAAAGTCTAGTGGAAAGTATTACGTACAGATAATCCATCATCAGAATGGGACAAATTTAGCCAAGCTATAACCAGAAGCTCATAAATATGCTTAAAACAACACAGATGGATTTCTACCCCTTCATGAAAAAGTATTAAGAACACATGCCATATCATGTATTAATACATAATTTTATCACACAGTAAGAACGTACTGTGAAAGCCTTTACCTTTCTATAGTAACCATTATATTCACAACGACAGAAACAAAAAAAAGGATAAATAAATTGGGGAAAAATACAGACGAAATTGTGAAGACAGCAATACTAAGTAACAATATTTCTAGACTTGGAATCATGCATTTCTGTCACACCAAAATGCAAGCAACTGCAGTCAATTATTAATAAATAATTTCTGGGTTTCAAACATAAAAAAATAAATTTTAAGAGTTTGAAAATCCAAAACGGGAAAAAAGTTTAAAAAAAAAAAAGCGCAACTGAACTTAGTATTGTGGAACATTCTTATTAGATAAAAAAGAATAATGCTAAGAACAGACAGAGAGAAAAAAAAGAATAATACTAAGAACAAAAAGAGACAATAAAGAGAGACAGCTAGAACACATTTAGCTAAGAAATGGAGGCAGTTAAAATTATTCCCATTTTCCTGTACTAATTTGAGTGGTGACAAAGGTTTTATTTAGTACTAATTTTAGTTAGTTATTTTCATTTAAAGACTTTTTTTTTTTTTAATATGGAAGGATACTTTTAAACATGCCTCTACACCTTTTTTTTTTGTAGGAATCTAAGTGCAAGATATCAAAGAAGAGCCTTATTTGAAGAAACAATCTTCAATTGCCTGAAGCAGCACACAGGCTTAACAGAAACCCAAAAAGCTATTATCTCACTCGCAGTTTCATTCATTAAATTTTCTGCTCACTGAAGATGATGATACTACAAAGTATAAAATTCTCTCTCAAATACTAATAACATGCTGATTAAAGTGTTTGAAGACTGCTATATGACCATTTCCCATAATTACTGTCTTTTAAATTTCATAAACTTTTATGAAATTTCCATTTTAACTGTTTTAATACTTACTGTTTACAGATAGTAGGTTTCAGGTGCCATTGTCCCATTTCTGAATTACAGTTATCATCTACAAGGCCACCATCATCACTACTGTCTTCCTACAGAAGCAACATGTTTACAGGTGTTTAAAAGCTAATATTGATTTTCAAACAGATGCAGAAGAAATTACTGCTATACTTACCATTTTTATTCAAGACCAATAACATAAGTTTAATAAAGAAGTGGTAGCTTTAATCTGAAACCATTCCTTGTTTGTAAAGTTTGCATTACCAACTTTTAGTCACATGGCTTCTCCAAATCCGTGCTGGAATGACACGGAGTTAACGACTGCTGAAACTAGAAAAAAAGCTGCAACTGACATTTTCAAAACATTGCTGGCTTAAAAGGGTTGCATCTCCATTATTTGGTTATAATCCAAATTATCAATGCCTTCCCTTGCTAATGATTACTAGAAACTTGCTTGGCAGTTTCATGTATGTTATCTCCTAGATGAAATGAGACAAAATCTGAACAAATTCAGAAATAAAATTTGATCTTTGCTCTGGAATGCACCAGCTTGGTTCTTAGGGCAAGGGAAATTAAACCACCATGATACTATAGATCACAGATTGCAAAAACAGTCATGCTACAAACCTGGGAATACCCTTTGACCTTTTGATTTCAATATTGATTGCTATAAAAGATACAGAAGTTTTATGAATAAAACCACTAAGTTCTTGTATCTAAAAGTAATGCAATGATCCAAGGTTTCTTACCCTTCTACAGAGTTCACTTAACTACCACAGACCGTTGCATTATAGGGAAAGAGATGCTTTCCAAAAATGAGAACCCCCCATATCAGCATGATTTGTGAAATTTTTGGTGAGAATCATGTACACTAACACACAGGATCCTCTGACTGAAATCCTCACGGTATGCCATGAAGATGTTATCGTATGAGAAACTACTGCCTAGTTCCTAATACACTTGTTTCTGTCGCAGCCTCAACTCCATTTTTGGCAGATGTGAAGGTGCACTCAGCCTGTCATGGTCTACCATTTCTATACTTGCTTTGTGCATTCTAGAAGATAGCAGTGACAGCTTCAGCCTGAGTTAAGTTCTAAGCTACACTGCAAGGAGGGAACTCGGTGTCTTTGCCTCCTCTCAGGGAACACAGCTGGCCATCTGCTTTCTTCCCTGCCTTCATGCCACGTACTTCAGATTGGAAACACTCTACTACGCATTCTCCATCTTCAGGGAACTCTTAACTGCTACAAAATAGAAAGGCACTTCCATCAGGCAAGAATCACAGAATGTTTGGGCAAGTGGCATGACAGGAGAGGTGGGTTGCGTCTGTATGAAAAGCATAGCTGGGTTTCAACATAAACTGGAGCTTTTATATTTCTGCACACATATACATACTATTTGAAAGCCATTACAAATAGCTGTAGACTTTAGAAAATGATTGTTTGTTCTGGACTCAAAGGTGAAAAATAGGTAATTCCTAGACTGTATATTTGATAGCCTCCGATTCTTTATTTCAGACAACTTGGGAGTCACACACCTGAAACATGAACATAAAGGCCAATTAGGAAGAGTAAATGTGTAACTCCTAGCTTGCTCACACTGAACTTACAGTGTAGAAGCAACAGGGCTACGGAACAATGCCCTCGCATCCAGTTGTGAATCAGTAAAGGACATTTTAACGATCAGTCTTTCCACAGCTCTAAAATCTAAACGTCTTCCAATTTGAACAAGAACACAACTTGATTATAAATCCATGTTGTTCAAATTTGATTAGGAGAAGCACCAGTGAAACAAACCAGCAGAGTAGCACCTCCCTATAAATGCCTCCAGGAAACGCAGCTGAAAGAAGAGTAACTTGTTCTTGGGTCTGGTAGATAAACAACTGGCGTAGGGGAGATGAAAAATAGAAATGTGCTGACTTTCCACTAAAATCGTTATGTAATATTGTCACTATGCAAAAGACTCAGAAAATGAAATGCAGGATCAGTACAGCAGTTTCCTATTACACAGTTTAATGAACGAATGTACAATCCTCTCCAGTCAGGTGATTTGCAAATTTCTGTAGGTAACCAGTGCTTTGGATTTGACACTTGTAAAGATAACTAGCTTTAGACAATGCACATTTACAATGTGTATACAGCTTTTAAGCGACCCATTCAAAGTATAACACAACAGTTTGTATTTCCCAAATAAAATTGCTTAATTCTTTACCTGGTTATCTTGGTCTTCAGAAAAATCTATAAGCTCATCTTCATTTAGTTTACTGCCATCAGCTGAGTCTTCACTATAGTTTAGCCTGATTTTGTGCAATCCATCTGTATCAATCACAGATAGTAGTATATTTAAACATCAAATACTATGTCATCTTTGAAGACCAAACTAATTTTAAATGCCTCAGATTTGCTCAGGATTGCTCACAATAACTGTGATACAGCTGATATATTTTATTCACGCATACAAACAAAAGTGAAAAGTTTCTTCTAAGTAACACAGCAGAAACTGTTCCTTATTCTGTAAAACACCTAAGAAAATTCTAGAGACCTAGACTAAAACCCACCATGAAATTACCCTGTAGTTCCATGAAGCCTTTACAACAGTATAAATTGGTACTGCTACCAAAAGGGGCAGTCTCCTATGGTCCATAATATAACCACTTATTCCCATCCCTAGCTGGTTCCTTCCATGACACCAAATACATCCAAACATAGTGGACCAGACTGAGAAAGTCAGCCACAAGCTTAATGTTTTTTAACCTGAATCAGTTCCTTGATCAGATTCGCTGTGCAGTTTTATGAAGACTGGTGCTGGTAAAAGGGAAAAGGCAGTTTGGGAACACGCTGTTAGGGAAGGTAGAATGCATGATCAGCTCTCCTGGGAGCAGCTGCTTAGAAATGTTTGTGAAACTTCACTGTTTGCTACATAGAAAGAGTATCTATAAATTCACTCCCTAGCCCCTCTACATATTTAGTCACTTGACAAACAGCATCTGAAGAAATAAAGAATAATGAACATTATAGCTATACCTGTGAAAGAAGCAGATACAGACAGCTACAGGCTCACTAGTCTTCCTATACTACCATGCAACACTTCAGATTTTGAGGGGAAAACTAACACACTATATGGGAGCAAGTGAAAAATGAATAACTCATGCCAGCAAAACCTAAAATCTTCATAAGCAAACTTCTCCTAGAAGGCTATACAATATATCTAAACAATCACAAAAATAGAAGTGTTGGTTATGGCATCACTGGAGGACGTATTACTTAAAGAAAACTAGGATTTCTATAAAAACAGTAAATAGGGCAATGAACTAGCTAATGGAAAAAGCAGAGAAGACCTGCATCTGAGAATACTTCAACAGAGAAGTTGAAGTTAACACTTTGGAAGGAGGTTATCGGTGGCGTTCCACAGGGACAAACTTGGGAATTAGTCTTAGTCAGTATCTTTGAAAAGACCTTAGCAGAAGAAGTAGGCCATATACTAATGTGACTTATTGCTGACAGATTCCTAAAAAATAAAAATTGGTATCGAGAAGAATCAGATCTCATACAAGAACTGAGCAATAAAAAGGGGATTAGTTAAGTAATAAACAAAAATAGATATATATTTCAGATGATTTCTTCAAAATTATTTAGGTATCAACTCCTACTGATTTACAAGTCCAACACCAGGATTTAGTTTGAGATCAATCAAATTGATCAAATCAATTATCCCATCCCTGGCAGTGTTCAAGGCCAGGTTGGACGGGGCTTTGAGCAACCTGGTCTAGTGGAAGGTGTCCCTGCCCATGGCAGGGGGTTGGAACTAGATGATCTTGACGTTCCCTTCCAACCCAAACCATTCTACGGTTCTATGATTATATGATCAAGACATCTAAGTGTAGGCTCCTATGTATTGTAGGCATCTAGGGTCTCACAATGTTAAGTGGAGACCATAAACAGAGCAGGGAGCTACTCACCTGAATGGCTACCCTACGTCTGCTTTAGTGTGAGAAGAGGAAGTCTCTTGGTTTCATTGACTATACTATCAAAGGGGCACTTTTGAGATATCCTAGGATATCCAGGACATACATATGGATTTGGCAGAGTCAAGAGTCAAGAACCACACCCTTCTGGAGCAACAGCTGAAACCTGGGCAGAAAACCCAAGGCCTACATCCCCATCTTCCATCTAGTTGAAATGGAAGTTTAGATATACAGCACAGCTAATTTAGCTGCCTAAACCTGTGCTTAATGTCAATCTCAAATTCAATCTCACACTTAAACCAGGACTGTGACCCCTAAGAATGTCTGCATCATCTGCAATAGCTGAGCAAGAGAGTCTGAGTGTTTTAGCCAGCAACAGAATGACCATCAGCCACCAATACAGTGCAGCCATAAAAAAGAGAAATGTAATCCTAGCAAAAATGTCAAAAAGCATGTTCCAACTAATTACAGACAAGTAACAGTAGCAGCATCCATGACACGGGAGACCATACCACACAGCAGCAATATCATAAACAGTAACAATCACAAATAAAATGAAAAAATAAATTCAAACAAGAGCAGATCTTCACACACCCCTAACCCTGCACCAAGACCTTCCAGGAGAAGTGACAATGTTATCACAAATGAATAAATTTAGATTAGAAAGTAGGAGAGTGTTTATACCCACAAAGATATTAAAGTTGTAATAGCCTGCAGTATGCAGGTTATCGAGCATATGCTCAATAATCTTTCCAGATCTTGTACTGTAAGCTATGCAATTACTTACTGTGTAAATTAAGTCAATAAGAATACTATCGGTGACTAAAGTAAAAATTTCTGTGTGACTAGATGTTTTGTATTCTATGCCTCAAAGGGATCCAAACCTTACAACTCGCAGAGAAAACAATCTTTTCCCAATTCCTTCATCTGCCTTTAAAAGTATATCAGCTCCTTTGTTCACTTTGGTACAAACGCTGTTCCAGACCACTGAAATCAGCTTCCACAGCAGTGATGCATGGAGGAAGCCTCTCTAAATGCAACGTGAAGTCATGTGACAGATTTTTTTTTTTTTAATTATTTTCATCTTTTTTACATACCTTCTATCAGGACATCAAAGAACTTAATGGTGTTGAAG